AAAAAAAAAAAAAAAAAAAAGAAAGAAGACCGCCGGAGTGAAGAGAAAGGAGGCGAGGAAGGAGAAAGGAAGGAGAAGGGTGGTGAGGAAGAAGAAGCCGGCAGCCATAGCCGAACGGAGGAGTTGACCAGGAGAGTTGACCGGGCGTTGACCAGGGTTGACTGGAGTTGACCGAGGGTTGACCGGGGGTTGATGCAGCATTGACCGAGCGTTGACCAAGGCGTTGACCAAGACCGTTGACCACGATTTTGACCAAGTTGGAGCCGGTATAATCTCGCCAAGCCTTCAGCCTACCCCTCGCCCAATGGATGGGCACACACCCTGTGGTACTTGCTGAGTCAAGTCTGTCTGTTTCTTCTTTCTGCATTGAGTCTCTTCTGTCTTGGTGTAGGAACTCTGTGGATGAAGGATAGGACCTCGTTGACCAAACCCCTGCTGGACTAAGTAGGGCTAAAGACTGTGTCTGACGACTCAACTGTCCCGGAGGACACGAATCCTCCCAAGGACCGGTACAAACCGGCGGGCTGCTCGGTGTGGCACGGTAGGCCCGAAAAGCTGAGTTGTGGGCTGCACAACACGCAGTCTAAGTGTTGAGAGACCTGCTGATCGCGTCGTCCTGTTTGTGACGTTAGATGATTCCTGAGGAGTTACGGGGGATCTCCTTAAATGCCTCCTGATCAGCAACAGGTCTAGTAGTGACAGCCTTAGAGTAGGTCTAGGCTAGAGACCCTAGTTGACAGGATCCCTGTCCGGATTTTGTGAGTCTTTAGATTGAGTCAGTGAGTTTGTCAGTCAGGGGTTAGAGTCTAAGTGGTGAGGTTTGAAACCGTTGACCTGGTTGTACACTTATCACCATGGTTGACACCCGTAGCGGGAAGAGTACTAGCCGCTATACTCTGGCTCAACAAGAGCAGATGGCCGCCCTAGTGAGAGAGAACAGGGAAAAAAAAGAGCTCCTGAAGCAAGTGAAGTTAAAAGCCATCGCAGGGGAGCAGGCGGCAAAAATGAAGAAGCTGGAGGAGAAGATGGTGAGGGTTCAACAGGAGATGGAAGAAAGAAGAAAGGCTGCTGAAGAAGAAGCAGCAGCAGAAACAGAGGAAGAACGCTTGGAAAAAAGACGTAGGGAAGAAAGAGGGGAGAGCAGTGGCACGACAGAGGAGGATGCAAAAATGGAGAAGAATATCTGTGAGTGGGTGGCAAATTTGTCTTGGGGAGAAGACGAGGAGGCGCAGCTGTATGTGCTACAGGAGGAGAAGGAGGTGTTTGCCAAGGCTTTGGAGATGATAGATGACCCCCTGGAACATCACGAGACAGAAGATGAGAAGAAGTTGGAGTGGAAGCGGCGCATGAAGAGGGAGAAGAAGAGAAGGAGGGAGGAAGCTGCCCGATTGGCCGCGGAGGTGGAGAAAGCACGAGGATGTAGGCAAGAGTTGCAGGCACAAGCAGAGGTCCCTGCTAAGTTAGATAAGATTGTAGGGTACCTGAAGGTGCTAAGTGAGGCATGGTTGGAGGAACGCCAAAGCAATAGGGGTCACGATGTGGCCCTGCAGGCCATGCGGGCTGGCTTTAGGGAGTTTGCACGCGACGTGGTGACCCACGTCGGGACAGAAGTGAAAGGGTTAAAAGAGGGCATGAGGAAGTTTTGTGAGGGCGCCATTGAGGGTGCCAAGGTAGTAGCCACCGCAGAGAGTGAGTCCAGACCCCGCAAGGAACCAGTCAGTGAAGTTCCCAGATGCCTATGGCAGGAAGTCTGACGAAAACTTCGATAACTGGGAGACAAGTGTCAATACGTATGTTCATTTACAGCAAATTGCACAGGACGATCAGGTCCTCGTTGCCTTCCAGGCTCTCAAGGACGAAGCGGCTAGTTTCGCTAGGTCCCTCGCGCGTGTGGCCAATTGTGAAAACAACATGGTCGCTTACTCCAAAGTCACCCCCCTCGCTCAATTCTTCAAGCTCCTGAGGGAGCGATTTGCTGATCTGCGAAGAGGCGTTAGAGCCTCTGATAAACTCCAGACCATCCACTCACGACAGTGAAAGAGTGCAAAGGCACTCAAAGCTGTCATGGACGACCTGGTGGCCGTCCCGGACCATGGGGTTACTGAGTCCCAACTGGTCCAACTCTTCTATCGTGCCATGTCGGAGCCCTTACGAGGGCACTTCTTTGACAAGTCCCAACAACCCACTATGACGTTTGATGCGCTGAGTAGAGAAGTGGTGCTGTTCCAGGCAAAGTCCATGCCATTTTCCACTTTCTGGCACAAGGACCTAGACAAGGGGAAAAGTGGAAAGGGCGCACCATCTTAGGCCAGGTGAGGGCCAAGGATCACATGATCCTTACATTGGAGGAAGGTGGTACTGATGAGGTCCCCTATAGCCAGATAGAGTGGGGACTTGAGGAGGAGGACAGCAGCGTAGGACAGGGGAGGTCTTATGCTACTCTAGCGGCTGGAGGGAGGCCTCAAGGTAGAGGAGGAGGCCAGGGCCGAAGGGGCCAGGCCATGGGAGGCCGAGGATCAGGCGCACAGGGGGTTGGCGGTCAAGGGAACCATCAAGCGGGAGATAGGGGTCAAGGTCCCCCGCCGAATCGCCAAGGTCCTAGTCGGTCCCCACAGCGACGAGGTGGCAGGTCACCTCAATGGTCAGGAGGTTGGCACCCGGGTTGGCCACAAGGCCGGCCCTGGGAAGATCTGGGCCTGGATCAGAGAGTATGGCAGCAACGGATGGAGCAGGGGCAGTGCATTTACTGCGGTGACCCTACCCATATCATTAAATACTGTCCTAAATATAGACAGGCCCGGTGGGATGCCTAGGAGTCAAAAGGCAGCCGCCGGTAGGGGTTGCAACTGCCCCTACTCTTAGGCCATGTGGGGAAGCGAGCGTGCGCATACAGGAAACTCCCACTCCACATGTGCCTTCGGCAGAGGTTGCAGGCCCGTGCCTAGTTAGTTGTCTAGAGATTGATTGTGTCAGCGTCTCTCTAGGCACGTCCCTCACAGGCGTGGCAAAGGAATTGAAGGGAAGGATGCATGCCTGGGCCAAGATGAAGAAAGACAGTACAGGGCAGCTAGTGTTAGTGGATGTAGAAGTGTTCAGGAGTAGAGTAGGGGCCCTTATAGATTCAGGGGCCACCCGCAGTTATGTAAGTCGTAAGCGCTGAAAAAACTGAGGCTACGATTAAAAGTCCAGAAATTGAAAGACCCCATAGTCAGTGTCCTCGCAGACAACAGTACAATGCGAGTTGAGGACTACGTAGAGGGAGCCCAGGCGTACTTTCGCCTAGAGAAAGATGGGAAGGTAGAAAGAGTTCTCCATTCCCTGACTCTCCTCGTAGAGGATAACCTTCCGTTTGATATAGTCCTAGGTATGGACTGGGGAGAGGCAGCAGGAGCCACACTCCACTTGAGAGAGCATGAGTGTAGGCTCCCTAGTCCGTCAGGCGAAGTTAAGACCACCCGCCTGTTTCATGTGTCTGGAGTGGATAACTCCTTGGCACATTGCTGCCTCAGTTCTCCCGTGTTCGCGCGATTAGTGAGAAAGGAGCAGTTAGAGGATCAGGTCGTCGTAGTGTATGTTAGACCTGTCACTGAGGCTAAGGAAGAGGGGAGTTCCATAGATCCAGCCATTGCCAAGCTGCTGGAAGAGTTCAAAGACTTGTCTGAGCCGCCGACAGGAGTAGTGCCGCGGCCGATCCAACACAGGATAGAGATAGAGCCTGGCAGTAGAACTCCTAAGGGAGCAGTCTACAGGATGTCCCCTAGAGAGCTAGAAGAGTCGCGCAAACAATTAGACGATCTCCTTAAGAAAGGTTGGATAAAGCCCAGTTCGTCTCCTTTTGGAGCACCAGTATTGTTTGCCCCAAAAAAGGAAGGAGAGTTGAGAATGTGTGTAGACTACAGGGGTCTGAATGCGATTACAGTTAAAAATGTTGAACCACTGCCCAGGATAGACGATTTCTTAGATCGGGTGCGGGGTTGTAACTATTTTTCAAAGATAGACTTGAAGTCCGACTACCATCAGATAGAGGTCCATCTTGATGACCAGTACAAGACTGCGTTCCGGACTCGTTATGGGCATTATGAGTTCATAGTGATGCCCTTTGGACCGACCAATGCGCCAGCTACATTTCAGCGTTGTATGAACGATCTATTCAGGCCTTGGTTAGATAGATTCGTCGTAGTATATCTAGACGATATCTTAGTATTCAACATGACCCTCCAGGAGCACCAGGGTCGTTTGAGGCAGGTCTTGGAAAAGCTGAGGGAAGCTAACTTCAAGATCAATGCGAAGAAGTGCGAGTGGGCCAAGACACAAGTTCTGTACTTGGGCCACGTGTTAGACGGAGATGGCATTAAGCCAGAGGACAACAAGATACCGGCAATTCGAGACTGGCCGACGCCCCGCACGTTGACAGAGTTGCGGTGGTTTCTGGGCTTAGCTAATTACTAGAGGAAGTTTGTGAGGAACTTCTCTACTAGTGCCGCTCCCTTGCTTAGATTGCTCAAGAAAGAGGCGATCTGGCAATGGGATAAAGACTGTACGTCTGCGCTGAAAAAGTTGAAGCGCGCTTTAATAGAGTATCCCGTCCTCAAAGTAGCAGATCCGTCCTTGCCATTTGTCGTCACCACGAACGCAAGTCGGTATGGTATAGGCGCCGTGTTACAGCAAGACGACGACAATGGCTACAAACCCATAGAGTTCATGTCAGCATGGATGCCCTCAGAGAAGGTAGCCACCTCGACGTATGAGAGAGAACTCTACGCTCTCAGACAGGCCTTAGAGCACTGGAAGCATTACCTGCTTGGGAGGCACTTCAAGGTGTACTCCGACCATGAGACTCTTAGATGGTTGAAGACACAGGCCAAGATGACACCTAAGTTGACTAGGTGGGCCGCTGAGATAGACCAATATGATTTCGAGCTCAAGCCAGTTAAGGGCAAATACAATGTAGTTGCGGATGCTCTGAGTAGGAGGTCAGACTACTTTGGAGCCATAGTTCACTGTCTGGACATAGGGAGTGACCTGCAAGAGAAAGTTAGACAAGCGTATGCGCATGACCCTATCTATAGTGACCTCCTCAAGAGAGTTAAGGAGGCCCCAAGGACTGAGCCAGACTACCGCACTACACGGGTGTTATTGTTTGAGAAGACTAATGTAGTAGACTGCTTATGCATTCCCAACAGTGAGGAGATTCACAGTCTAATCCTAGAGGAATGCCATGATACAGAGGGACACTTCGGTTGGCAAAAGACTTTAGCCAATTTGATGCACGCGTACACATGGTCAAGAATGAAGAACGACTGCATAGAGTATGTCCACAGTTGTAAGGTCTGCCAAAGGAACAAGACCACTACGCGTGCCCCTCTAGGTCTTCTTAGACCCTTGCCTATTCCAGACCAACCTGGAGACTCAGTCTCCATCGACTTAATGGATGCAGGTGTCAAGAGTAGGCACGGCAAGAGCCAAGTCATGGTTGTAGTTGATAGGTTTAGCAAATATGCTATTTTTGTTCTTTTGCCTGCAGAGGCACACACAGAGTTAGTAATACAAAAGTTCTTTGATTTTTGGGTTAGAGAGCATGGAGTTCCGTTGTCCATAGTTAGCGATAGAGATAGTCGCTTCACCAGCCAGAACTGGCAGGAACTCATGAGAGTCTATGGGTCAAAGTTGCTGATGTCGTCTGGCCGCCATCCATAGACTAACGGTCAGACAAAACAGATGAACAAGACCCTGCAGCAAGTTCTGCGCATGTACATTAGACCTGATCAGATTAACTGGGACGAGATGTTACCCAAGGTAGCCAGAGCATACAATAACAGCGTACACTTGTCTACCTGTCGCACTCCCAACGAGTTACACAAGTCCTTTAGACCAAGTAGACCGTTTGAAGGACTGAACCGGGATCAGATTCACAGGCTACCGCCCGGTACCAGAGAGTTCGCGATATAGCATGAGAAAGAGATAGCCACTGTTGCAGAAAACCTCAGGAAGGCCCAACACCGAATGATAGAGCAGGCTAATAAGCACCGTCGCCCATCACAGTTTCAGGTAGGCGACTTGGTCTGGGTCAAGTCTAAAGAGTTTGCACCTGAGGAGAACATCTCGCAAAAGTTACTGCCCGCGTATAGAGGACCGTGGCCAGTTCTAGAAGTAAAGGGCGGAGAGGATGGACCGTCCTACACAATCGAGATACCATCACACCTCCACACCTACCCTGTGTCTCATGCATCAAAGTTGCTGCCATGTGTCACAAGTCAACAGTTTCCATCTAGACGGTCCATGATCCCTCCAGACATGGACGAAAGATATGACATCAACGACATTGTAGGTGAAGATGTGTTCAGAACAGGAGGTAGAGGTTGTCCACAGAAACAGTATAAGGTCTGGTTTGCGTATCAGAAGCCAGAGGATGACCGCTGGTTCACTAGAGCAGAACTTCTAGAGACAGCTCCCGATATAGTTAGAGCCTACGAGAGAGATCAGAAAGGTAAAGGTCCTGCCTTGGATTGAGTTATTCTCGGAGGACCTCAAATTTAGGCCGTCGGGAGTGAAACGGTATTCACCAGTTCGCAATAGCTGATGCAGATCCTGGGGCTCGATCCCTAGTCCCCACCTTACCTGTGTACAGTACCTGTGTCGACCCTTAGAGTTGAACCCGTGACCTGTTTATTTGTAACAGTGGTGGACTGTCGTAGGGTCCAGAGGTCGCCAGGGTTCGATCTGTAGACCTGTCGAGTAAGAGTCTTAGTCAGGGCTAGAAGTCGTAGCTGTAGCATTCCCGAAAGGTCAAGGTCGTAGCTGCTACAGTCCAGAAGGGTCAAAGTCGTAGCTGCTACAGCCACGAAAGGCCAAGTCTACGGCCTTCCGGAAGGTTCCAGTAGTGGCCTTTCGTAGTTGCCCACGTTTAGGCTGAGGCAAGTGGGCAAGTGGTGAGGCAAGTGGTGGAGTCTGCCCGTGCTGAGTCAGCAGTCCCAGTCCTAGGCAGTCCTGGTCCAGTCAAGCAAGTACCGCATGGGACTGTGTGCACTTCGGGCATGGGAAAGGGCCAGACCAACGAGCTGCAGAAGTATAAATCAAGAGGCAGCGCCCAACCATTCATTCATTCCTGCACGAGCCATGCGGAAGCGCTGCCACGGCGACTTGTGCAAGGAGGTCTGCAGTCAGCCCGAAGACGAAGTGGGCAGATAGACGAAGCTTAGCCATAGCGATAGGGTAGAGGCGGCCATAACCGCCATAGCTGTAGTTAGTGTTCAGTGTGTGTGTGTGTGTGTGTGTGAGTGTTTAGCGAGACGCGTGTGGGATATCCAGGGTGATCCACTGTATGTGAACAGAGAGTTGTATGGGCGCTATATCGCCATAGCCATTGGAAGTGAACTCGTATCTGGGTTGCCATATCTCTGAGTGCTGAGTGGGCGCATGTCGCCAGGTTGCTGTGCTACTGTTTGCATGCATGTAAAGTGTGAATGAAAGCAAGTCTGATTGCATT